GGGCGTGGGGGGGCTGGGGAGCAGCTGGGCACAGAGAAGGCAAACGGGGCACTGCGTTTCCCCCCCAGGTCCAGGAGCGGGTGCGGAAGAGCTCAGTGGACCTGCGGCGGGAGATCATTGACGTGGGGAGCATCCAGCGCCTCATCGAGCTCCGCAAGCAGCGCCGGCAGCGCCGGGAGGAGCGGGCGGCCACCCCCGAGCCCCCTCCGCCACCTAAGCCCCTGGAGATCGTACGTCAGGGGGTCCCGGGGTGTGGGAGGGGGCCTGCTGGGACAGGGGCTGGAGCCCCCATGGGCCAGCCCCTGGGTCACCCTGCCAGCTGGGGACCTCCCCGGGGAAGCAGGGCAGGGGGACCCCCATGTTGTCCCCTCTCCTGTGTCCCTGGACGCCCCAGCCCTGAGCCTGTCCCACCACCAGGAGGGTCCTGTGGAGCCAGAGACCTTCCTGCGAGCTGCTGTCCAGGGCAAGATGCACGTCATCGAGAAGTTTCTGGCAGATGGTGGCTCCCCTGACACGTGTGATGAGGTAGTGTCCCCCATGGCCGCTGGCCACCCCCTGCCTGCGCCCTGCCACCATGCCCCTCCGTGCCCACTGGCAGGGGCTGGGACCCCCAGGATGGGGCTGGGGGTACAGCTGGGCTGGGGGGATGGATCCAGCCACCAATGTGGCGCTTCGTCTCCCCAGTTCCACCGCACGGCCCTGCACCGCTCCTCGCTGGAGGGACACACAGACATCCTGCAGAAGCTGCTGGACAGTGGGGCGACCGTCGACTTCAGGGACCGGGTGAGGCTGGATCCTGCCCCCAGCTCCATGCCGGCCTGAGCCTCCGGGCACAATGCAGCCAGAGCAACAGCAGGGTTGGGGTCCGCGCCGCAGGGCAGTGCTGTCCCCACCGCCAAGGTGGCCACGGGCAGCGCTCTGTCAGCTCAGCCCGGGCATGGGAACTGGGTGGGGTGGGGAACAGACACAGGGTGGGGGTGTCCCCTGCCGTGATGTGGCTTTGTGTACCCAGCTGGACTGCACTGCCGTGCACTGGGCCTGCCGGGGTGGTCACCTGGATGCCGTCAAGCTGCTGCAGGACCACGGGGCAGATCTCAACCTGAAGGACAAGGTGTGTGGGGCAAAGCCCGGGGGCATGGGGCTGTGCCAGGGGCATGGGCTGGCCCTGTGTTGGGTTAGCAGGGGTGGGTGCTGATCCCCTCTGGTGTCCATCTCCTCCCCCCCCAAGCTGCTCAGCACCCCCCTCCATGTGGCCACCCGGACTGGGCATCCCGACATCGTGGAGCACCTCATACACTGCGGGGTGAACATCAACTCCCCAGACAGGGTGAGTGCCACGGCTGCGCAGCCAGCACTGGGGGGGCAATGCCGATCCCTCATCCCTCATCTGACCCCTCCGGGGGCTCCCAGCACCCACAGCAGGGCACGTCCCTGCCCCCGGGTGCCGGCAGCTGCAGCCAGGGCTGGGCTGGGCACTGTTCCCCTTGTCACCGTGGGGAGGTGGCTGTGCGGGGAGCTAGGGAGCAGTGCTGGGGACAGGCAGGCGGTCCCTCTCCCCGGAGCTGGGCCACAATCCCTAGCCAGGCTGCGCCTCTCGCAGGAAGGCGACACGGCACTTCACGACGCCACACGGCTCAGCCGCTACAAGATCATCAAAATGCTGATCCTGCATGGGGCTGACATGATGGCCAAGAATGAGGTGAGCTGGGGGGCTGGCGCCAGGGCCATTTGCTGCCCCACCATGTCGCGCCACCCCGGCCCCAGCCTCTGCCCATTCTTGCAGACTGGCAAGACCCCGACAGACCTGGTGCAGCAGTGGCAGGTGGACACGCGCCAGGCGCTGGAGACCAAGGAACAGCCGCAGGGGGAGACGGACGTCCCTGCATGACAGCGCCGGGCAGGGACCCGGGACTGGACTTGGCTCCAAGGAGCAGGATCCAGCCAAGACTCACCCGTGTCAATAAAAGCCAGCAAAGAGCAGCATTCAGCTCCAGGGGGCTGCGGGGCTGGGTAGCCTGCGTTGGGGGCAATGGGGCGGAGGGAGCTGGGTTATCCGGGGAGCTGGGTTATCTGGCAGCATGGACGTACCCTGCAGCATAGGGACTCGGGTGTTGGTGACACCGCAGGGCCAGGACACCAGTGGTTCAAGGGTGGAACTCCTCACTGGGGGATGTCCTGACTGCTCGCAGTGCTTCAAAGTCCCACCCAGGCAAGCTCAGGGAGGAAAACTCTGGCGAGGGTGGCTCAACGTGGGGCCGCGCTGTGCTGGAGGCTGGGGTTGTGCCAGGGAGCAGCAGTCACACCCCTGCCGGGCAGCCACTCCACGGGGCTGCATGGCTGCTCATTCTCCTGCCTTCTCCGCTGGAGCCGTCCCCGGGAGGACACGGTGGCCCCTTTGCAGGATGGGTCACTTCTGCCAAGAGCAGTGCTCATTGCTCCCTACCCAGAAATGCTCCCGCTCACCTGTTTACAGGAGACCCTACACCAACACCCGGAGCGGGCAAACACTGCTCACAGCCCCGGGACTCCCCGAGTGCCTGGTCCAGCCCTGGCCTTGCAGCCCAGCCCCCTAGGTGGCACAGGGATGGCTGCCAGGGCTGGCAAGCGGAAGGGAAAGCACAGCTGGGGCTCACCCGGAGGGGTGCTGAGCTCCTGCGGCCAGCTCCTGGATGGGGGGGAAGCACCCTGACCTCAGGCGGTACCACCCCCCTTGCTGTCCACCCAGCTGGGCTGCAGGTCCTTCACGTGCCCCGTCAAACATTAACAGCCCCGCAGTGGGGCGGGCAGCAGGGCCGGCAGCAGCACCCATCCACCATGGCCCTCAGCAACCGCCTTGCTTTGCCACTCCGGCCCGCCCTGGCAGCTCTGCGCCAGGCAGCCCCCGGGCAGCGCCAGGGGCTCAGCACCCCCTCGGGACCAGGGCACACGCTCGACCTCAGGGGCATCTTCCCGCCCCTCACCACCCCCTTCTCGCCCACGCAGGAGGTGGACTATGCCCGGCTGGAGGGGAACCTGCACCGCTACGCCAGCATCCCCTTCCGAGGTAAATGCTGCCCACTGCCCCTCTTCGTGAAGGCTCCTGCCAGACCCCTGCCCACCACAGGGGCTGTGCGGCAGCGTGCAGACACCCTGCCAGCTTCCCAAGGGTGCTCAGCCTCCAGCTGGACTTTGTTCCGGGGCTGGGAGCCCCTTGGGTGACCCACCCAGGGCCCTTTGCACAGCATGTGCCCAGGCACATGCGTGTGTCCTTGCACACCCCCGCCACACTCCAGTGCCTGCTTGCATGCACGCTCCACATATGTGCAGGCTCGCACACATCCTCCACATGTAGCTGCAGGCTTGCACCTACCCTCTGTCCCATAGGTGTGCTTGCACACCCGTGCACACTCACACAAATTCAGCACCACAGGATGTGTATCTGTTGATTGCCCAGGATGGATGGATGGGAGGAGAGGGGCTGCAGGAAGAGGCTGGGGGTCACAGGGATGTGCCCTGGGGTCTCCCCTCTTCTGACCAGGCTGTGAGGCCAGGGCTGTGGGGACGGAGACAGGAGAGGTCACGCTGTGGGCTGCAGAGCCCTGCCTGGGTGCCCAGCAGTGAGAAAGGGAGTGAGGGTGATGGGGGTACCTGGCACCCTGAGGCCCTGGATGCCACGGCAGAGCCCGGCAGTGCCAGGCTGGAGCTGGCCTGCGCGTGTCCATGGCACTGGCGGGGTCCCAAGGAAGAGGGGGTCTGTGTGCCCCAGCCAGGGACAGGGTGGCACAGCCTGGCTGTGGGCACCAATAAATACCTCGCTAGCAGTGCTGTGTGGGGTGGTTTCTGGGGATGGAGGCGAGCAAGCGGCGTGCTCAGCCCACAGGGTGCATGCATGGCATGCACGAGGGTGCCTGGGTAGGGGATGGCACTGCTGGTGCTCAGTGCGGTGCAGGTGGGCACTGCCATCTGGGGGGCACATACCCACATGTGGCCTTTGTGGGGGAGCCCAGGGCTTTGCGGGGCACCTGTGGGAGCCTCCTGGCCCAAGGGCACTGCTGGATGTGGGTATCAGGCTGCTCTGGGTGCCTGGTGCCCACCCAAGAGTAGGGTGCAGAGAGGGCAGGGACGGCTGCCCCATGGGCACCCCGCCTCTGTGCCCGAGCCTTTCCCTCCCCACGTTTGTGTTTCAGGGCTGGTGGTGCTGGGCTCCAATGGGGAGTACCCCTACCTGGCACCCCACGAGCGGTTGCAGATGGTGAGCTGTGTGCGCCGGGCTCTGCCCAGGGACCGCCTGCTGCTGGCCGGCTCAGGCTGTGAATGTGAGTGCCTGCGTGGGCAGCGCGGGGGCCATGTGTGTTCCCCCGGAGCATCCCTCACCCCTCTGCCTCCTCCCTAGCCACCCAGGCCACCATCGAGCTGACGGTCAGCATGGCAGAGGCGGGGGCCGACGTGGCACTGGTCGTGACACCCTGCTACTACCGGGGAGCCATGACCAGCACTGCCCTGGTCCAGCACTACACGGAGGTGAGCCATGCCTGGTGCCCACTGGCAGCCCTGGCCGGGGCAGCGGGATGGGGAGCGCATCCCGCACGTCTTCAACCCATCCCAGCTGCTGAGCTCTGCCTGGCTGCCTGCAGGTTGCCGACGCATCCCCCATCCCCGTGGTGCTCTACAGCGTCCCTGCCAACACCGGCCTGGACCTGCCCCTGGAGGCTGTCGTTGCCCTGGCTCAGCACCCCAACATCCTTGGGATCAAGGACAGCGGTGGGGATGTGAGTGGGGCAGGGCTTTCCCGGGGCTCACTGCCACCAAACCTGTCCCCAAGCTGGGAATGGGGAGCTGGGACTCACAGCCTTTCCCCGGACCCCAGGGGTGCTGGCAGGAGCCCTGCGGTGGGGGGATGGGGTGATGCCTGCCCAGGGCACAGTGTGTCTCTCCCCAGATCACCCGCATGGGGCTGATGGTCCACAAGACACGGCAGGAGGATTTCCAGGTGCTGGCGGGATCGGCTGGCTTCCTACTGGCGAGCTACGCCCTGGGTAGGTGCTGCTGCCCCTGCTCGGCCAGGGGCACGGGGTGCTGCCCTGGGGGCAGTGGCAGGGACTGGCAGTCGGGCAGGGGGAGGCAGGCGAGGGGTGGTGATGCCCAGGAGGTGCTGGCTGGGCATAGCATGCCAAGCTGGCTGCCAACGTGCCCTGGTGTCCCCAGGTGCCTCTGGGGGGGTCTGTGCCCTCGCCAATGTCCTGGGAGCCCCGCTGTGCCAACTGGACCACCTGTGCCGTGAGGGCCGCTGGCAGGAGGCCCGCGACCTGCAGCACCGGCTCATCGAGCCCAACGTGGCGGTGAGCAGGCAGCACCCCCTGGGATGCTGAGGGGTGGGGGTGCTGGGCCATGGCAGAGCCGGGGGGGAGCAAAGGATGGAGGTCCCTGGGGCTGCGGGGAGTGGAGTGGTGGTCCAGAGGGGACAGGATGGCACGGCACCCGGCCGGCAAGCCAAGCTGGGCAGGAGGTGGCAGGGTGGGAAATGCCAGCTCTGCCGTGCCAGGAACAGCCTGTCCGCTGGCAGTGGGCACCTCCCTGACCCCCCGTGGGAGCCTTGCCAGCTATTTATAGGCAGTAACGGGGGGAAGAGCTGCTTCTCTCCAGGCCCCCCCACCCCAGTGCGGGGTGGCCCGTCCCTGCTGCAAAGAGTCCACCATGCTACAGGGGTGCTCCCCTGCATGGCCGTGCTCTGCGCCCCCACCCCATGGCGGGCAATTCATGGGGGGGGCTGCAGCCACCCCACACCCGGCCCAGCCTTGCAGCCCCACATGAGGATGTGATGGTGAGCAAGGAGCTGGGTTGGCAGGAGCAGGGCCCATGGAGTGTGCCGCCCTGTCCCACGGGAGCCGGCAAGTCCTTGCACCCTCCCTCCCGCAGGTCACCCGCCGGTTCGGGATCCCAGGGCTGAAGAAGGCCATGGAGTGGTTTGGCTACTACGGGGGTCCCTGCCGTGCACCCCTGGCCCCGCTGAGCCCCCCCCAGGTTGAGGAGCTGAGGGGCACCTTCAGCACCAACAGCTGGTTGTGAGGGGTCCCCCCCTGCCCCTTCCCGCATCCGGCAGGCACGGGAGCCAGGGAGCCCCAGAGCTGGGGACATGGTGGGGACACTGGGACGTGGCCAGGAGAAAGCCACCCATCTCACTCTGTTCTGATGGACAGGGCTGCCCTGGTCAGAGCGGGTAGGGGGGACACCCAGCACCCCCTGGCCACCCTTGCATCCCCGCCAGCCCCTGGGGTCCTGCTGTCCCCACCTGGGAAGGGATGGATCCCCGTGCTGTGAGCCGGGAATAAATCTGCTGCCCCCTCTCTGTGTCTGCAGTCCTGCCCACGCAAGCAGCCCCCCACCCAGTCCCTGCTCCCGGCAAAAAGGACATGGCCCAGGGCATTTGGCAACGTGGTTTACTCAGCTGAGGCCCGTGCAGGCAGCAGCACAAGGCAGGGTCACGGCAAGGCACGGGACCGGTGGGCAGCGAA